GGAGCGCCCGGGTAGCGACAGCTCCCTGCCAGCCCGATTCCCTGCGAGGAATCAAGGAATTCCCTCCTTTTCCTGCCACACGGGAGTTAAAAAAGCCTCACAGGAGCCCGCGGTCCGGGAAGGGGAGAAGCTTTCCCGGAGCTGAGGTCAGGGAAAGCTCCAGAGCTGCTGAGACCCGGCTGAAGCTGCTTCAACAATGACAGCCCCAAGTTGCAAAGATAAACCGCCCCCCCCAGGCTAATATTTTTCCCTTGCCTAACCACAGTTCTGCATTTCACTGCCTCTGTCACGCTTGCTTTGTTGGGAAATAAAAGGACTATTGCAGCATTTCTGTTTCTGTTTCACAGAATTGCTGCGTTCCCTGAATACAGCTGCCCCTTAGAGCAGCAAGATGCACTAAAATCTTGCTAGAAGGCAAATCACAGGGGCAGGGAGGAGCTGCCCTTGGTTTGCTTTCCTGCTAGTGAAGCAAAAAAAAAAAGCCCACCTATATTTGCACCTGCATGTTCACCCCCAGCAACACAGCTGCTCCTCCAGGTGGGGATGGAACAGCACACAGGTGATACCTGTGGGTATTAAAATAAAAAGGGAGAGCCTGGCATGACCTTAGCAGGAGGCAGATAAGGTAAAATAGGTAGAAATTTAGGTTTTTTTTCAAAGCAGTGGGGACATCAGTGAAGTGGCTTGGATCCCAGCCTTGCAAACAGATCTGCAGCTTCAGCTCCTGGCACCTTGGAGATCCTGTGGCAATGGAGAAGAAGCTTGAATTGGTGTCTGGTGTATAAATCAAATCTGTGTGTATCAATCTGGTTTGGTGGTTTGGTTCACCGTGCTTTTCTCCACTGGATGGAGAGACAGGTGCCAACTTTCTAGGAGCAGATCTCTAGGGAATGCCATACTTAAGAAAAAAATCCAACTGAAATCAAAACAACAACAAAACAAAACACACCCAAAAAAACCCACAAAAAACAAACAAACAAACAAACAAACAAAAAAAAAAAACAAAAAAACAAACCCAAAAAACCCCCAAACAAACAAAACAAAAAACCCCCAAACCAAACCAAACAAAACCAAAAAACAAACACCCCCCCCCCAAAAAACCAAAAACTAAAAGAAAAACCACACAACCAGAAAAAGCCCCCAGAAAACCCAAAACCAACCAAACAAATAAAACCAGCCCCAAAACCCTCAAGAAAAAAACCCAGCTGTATCATCTTGTTTTCAGTCCCTGTGTTAAATATTCCTGGGAAGGACTCAGAAAGGGGAGAAAGGAAGGGAAAGGATTGGATTGACTCAGGATTATGTGGTCTGAGCCTCATTTCTTTATGTGGCAGGCTGAAACTACCTGGGCTGTAGCAAGACCCTGAATTTTGCACACCCCGACCTCATGTCTAGGTGCATCCCAGCAATCCACATGGCACTCATCACTCTTCCCCCCAGGAGAAGGGAGTGGATGCAGTTTTGTCTCATTTCAGTGAGATTTGTGTATGACTGGGAGGGATTTAGATTTTATCCTTGTAATCAACCATATGTGCCCCAGAAGGCAGCACTGAGGGAAAACGAGGAAGGTCTGGAGTGCCCTCAGTCCCTGCAGCTCATTCCATGGACAAGACAGACAGCTGGGAATATTTGTCTCCTGCAGGAACTCATTTTACCCTTTGGATAGCCTGGTCATATGTCATTTATCTCTGGAAGATCCAGACCAAGAACCAGAATTTGATCTGAAATGCTACAAGAGGTGAGGATAGAGGACAGAGAATAAATTTTGTTGTTCTTAACATGATTTTTTTTGCCAAAGCAGCTCAGGCTATTATTCAGATGGAGTTCCCTGACTGGAAACTGCTCTGTTCTCACAGCTCCAGTCATGATTTTCCAAAACTCAGTTTGGGTCTACAGGCAAAGCAGTTTAACAAGAATGGGATGGAGCCTTCTTGCCAGCAGGGCATGATGAAAGAGAAGAGAGATGTTATTGGTAGACTATAAAGCAAAACTGCCTGCAAAGTGATATTGCCACTGAAATTAAAAAGAAAAGATAAAAAAAGAAAAAAAATAGAAAAAAAAAAAATAAATAAAAAAGAAAAAAGAAAAAAGGAAAAAAAAACTTGCAAACACTTGCACATTGGGTTTAGTTTACATCCATGTGCAGTTAATCCAGATGGCCATGTGATTACAGCTGAATATGAGATTATGTACCACAGGCCACTTTGGAGAGGAAGACACTGTGCCTGGAGTGCTGTGCCTAAAAGAAATGAGACATTTTCTTCCATGTCTTGTGCACAATTTAAGGACACAAAGAAAGAGTCAGAGAAGCAGAACATAGAAGAAAGTAAGCCCAGTGGGTATCTGTTTTTTATAGTTAGTGGAAGAAGATGGGACATTGTCTATGTGCTTTTTCATGGGCCAGAAATAGGAAATAAATCCATCTTGTATTCATTCTCCTTTTACTTCAGAGATAGTGCATTACAAGGTTTTGCACTCCTGCCAATACTCACTGCCAAAAGAGTAAATTGCCAGTTTTCACAAAGTTGCACATTGCTCCATAAATACATATTCAGCGGGACAAATACCTTCTCCTTTTAATATCTGTGTTATTCTTAAACACATTTGATTAGAGAGATGCACGTGCTGGGAGACAGCTCCATTTCTTACATTCAAGAAAGGAGAAAAACCCCTCCAATTTACATAGGATCCATCCTTTCTTGCTTTTGGAAAATGAAGGTGCCACCAATACTCCATATTATCACATTCCCACCTCCTATCCCTGTGCCCAAGCTGATGAAAAGAGGGTTTCCACTCTCTTAAAAGTGCAGAACAGTGAAGCCACTGGAAGGTTTTTTGGCAGCACAGCCCTAATGGAAAAGCTCAAGCTCACTCATAAAAGCTATGCAATGGACAAAACCTATTATGGAAATCCTGTTATCATCCACTTTACAAAATAAATGGGGGACAAGTATCTGGCAGGGGCTACAGAGGAAACTCTCCACAGTCTGACAGAAAAAGGAACAAGGGATTCATCAGCTCTAAAATGATTAAGAAGTTTGGTTTTAGCTTCCTCTTTTTTTTTTTTTCCTTCCCAAAACAGACCTTTACTAAAATAAAACAAAGGCAAAAACCTCTCTGAGAGCTCTGCCAGTCTCTGTTAGTTATGTATTTTGGGAAATGGAGTGAGTCCACATGACCTCTGTCGTCCCCATCTTTGAGATAATGCTGTTACATTTTAGAAGAGCACTTGAGCTATGGTTGACAAGTGCTCTGTGTAGTTTTGTGATAAGAAAACCTCAGTAAGGAAAAAACCTGGGCCCTCTGAAACCATCTCAAATCACAGAAGAAAGGCAAGTGGCACTTGCTGATACAGAGATAATTCATATCTTTTATTTAACAGTAACCCGTGGAACGTTCAGAACTTTGACTGTAGCATCATGAACTGCAGAAAGTATAGTTTTTTTTCTCTAGAGCCCTGTTCTTCTGCTAATGGTGATGAAAAACTCTGTGGATCCATGATCCGGCTGAACTTACCTCAAGTTCTCTGCCATAAAAATGGCACAGGTCTCCCTCCTGGGAAACCCTGGATAGTCTCAGACCCCAGCCTGAATGGATTGAAGTTGCTAAGCTGGAGGAAAGTTTTAATTTCTTACTCCCTCCTCCCCAGAAATTTTTCATCTTGGGGAATGCATCAAAACTGGATTGCAAATTATTTGTCAAATGCTAAAGACACACAGGATGAGGCCATGAAGGAACAGCCCATTTTCACCACAGCAGATCAGCTGACTTCTTGTTAAAAACCATACTCCAAAACTCAGAGTCTTTCTTGAATCCTGCTGTATTTCAGTTTGCTGCTCCAGCCAGGCATTGCATCTGGATTCTTCCCTCTCTGAAGACCCATCTGTCAAGGGAACCTGCTTAAACTCCTAGTGAGAAGAAAAGACTGAGTATCACCACGATAAGAAGAATGAAAATGCAGCAGGTAGGGATTAGTTTATTTGTTAAAGAATCTATTAAGTACATCAAAAATACCAGCAACTTTCTGCAGTCTGTTACAGATTATTTAACCTAAAATGGTTGTCTTTCCCTGAATCTGTCATTCTCTTCTTCCTGAAAATAATGTTTAACTTGGGCATTCTGTCTCCTTCACTGGCCTGCATTGCCTATGTAACTAATGTAACTGCATCAATCCTTGAAAAAACGGCATTCTTGCCACTTGATAAATGGATTTGCAGCTGTATGGCAGACAGAACTGAAAGGTGAAAAACAAACTATTCACTGTGAGGTGTTAGCAATAACTGTATCAAATTGTGACGATCATTTCACAGATACAATTCCAGTGAGTGTGTGGTCTTTAATCAAGTGTCCTTTTAACTCAACAGTAAATGCCCTATTTTCTATTTGAATTGTCATTTAGATTAGGCTCCTAGACTTCTTCTAGGAATTCTCCTACTCACCTACAGTCTAATATATGTCTACACGTGCTAATCATCTTTTAAACACTGATCCTGGCTGGATGCCACCCACAAAAGTCACCCTATCAGTCTCTTCACCAGCTGGGCAGAGGAGGGAAAATGCAATAAAAACCTCGTGGCTGAGATGAGAACACAGAGATCAGCCACTGGTCACTGATCAGGAAGAAGAGACTTAGGAAAATTCGTTTATTACCAACCAAATCACAGTAGGATAAAGACAAAGGAAACTAAATCTTTAAAACTCCTTTATCCCACCTTTCCCTTCTTCTTCCAAGGCTTAACTTCACTCTCCATCTTCTCTCTTCCTCCTTCCCCTCAGTGGTGCAAGGAGATGGAGAATGGGGCTTGTGTTAATTTTATTAAACATTCTCTCCTTCTTCTTCCTCATCACTGATGGTCTGGGATGTGGCCAGAGGATCCCTCCTGGAGCTGGCTGTCTCAGCTGGACACAGGGGAACCTTCCAGCATCTTCTCAGAGAAACCCCCCCCACCACCCAAACCTGGCCATGCCGACCCCATACAAACAGAGTTTACTTTATCTGCTGTTGTGGAGCAGCAGCTTTTATTCTGTCAGGGAAAACACCAGCCCACGAGAGCAGCAAAGGAACAGCACAGAAAAAGTGGTGCAGCTGGGCTGGGTGATTAATACAAAACAGAACACAAGGCACTCAATTTTTCAGACTCATATGTCCTAAGAAATTTAAAGCCAGATAAGGAATATGTTTTTTTTTCCACAAAGTTCTTTTCACCTTTGTGATCTGCTGCATTTTCTTCACTGGTTTCCCTCACTTTGCATCTCCAGCTTCCTAAGTTGGTCTTCAAATTTCTGAATGTCGACTCGATGCTTCATTAGGAACTTCCCATTTAAGTGAAAAACAGGTATGTCGTGTTTGTATTTATCATACCACGCTGAGTTTTCTGGAAGGGTAATATCCACCTCCTGCAGAATAAACTGCGGCAGAGAAGAAATATGTCAGTTCCTGCTGGACACTGAAAAACAATACCTGCTTGTCTTCTGATCAGTGCTTTCCTCAGAAATGCAAGGCTGTTTTCCTGAAGCTTGTGGCTTTATTCTTTGTGTTGTAGATAAGGGCCTGTTTTTTTGAGTACACAATATATGTAGCCACAACCCTTGGCTGCCTCTCCACAAGGGAATCTCTCCCTAGCCCAGAATATTCTTGTTCCACTGTGCAGAACCACTCTCCTGTGGGCAGCAACCTCAACAAACACACAGCTGGGAACAAAACGGGCAGCAGAGTGCAACAGTTCTTAAGGCTTGTATTGAAAGTTTCATCCTTCAACAGAGAGATCAAAACCTGGCTGAAAAATGGCACAAATTGCAGTCACACAGTTCAAATATTCAAAGCCCCACTTAGTCACATCCTTCCCAAATTACATCCTGGCTCATAAAAGTTACAAACTCCTTCAGACAAGGCAACAGTATTTGCAAAAGGAGTATTTTCAGGAACTCCTGTTACATGGTTTGTATTGGTTTAGTTTGCCAATCCTTATTTGAGTAGCATTATCACAAAACGCTTTTGGATAATGAGTTTTATGTAAATCAGTGCTGAAATTGTCTTGAAGAGGTCATCCATGAAAGAGTAACAGATGCAAATAAATCCAAGTAATTTTCTTTTTACAAAGGAAGAATCCTGATTAACTGTTCTTCTCATATAGAAAACATATACAGAATTTCCATACATTACCCTTCTCTTGTATGGCTCAAGAACTTCTTTTGCTTCATCACACAGAGGGCATGGTTTCTAAATGAAAACATTCAGAGTACCTTAAAGCAGGCAGTAAAACACAAATGTTGTTTGTACAGTGAAATAACACACAGAACATTATATTAATTCCTGTAAATTCAGGTTCCCTTCCCTGCACCAAGCACCCTGTCTTAGGGCTTTCTAAAACTTTACTTATCAGTGCAGTATGGATGAAAAAAAACCAAAAAACCCAACACACTATCCAGCCACTGAATGAAATTATTTTACATTGGCTACTGCATTTCTCATGGGGCAAATTCAACAGTTTTCTAAAAGCAGATCCAAGGGAATGATCTGAAAGCACTGTCATCACCAAATGCAGGTACCATTCCTGCTAAAAGAGGAATGAGAAAGCCACACAAGTAATTTCCAGCCTGTCTCTGATCAAGACACATGGCTCAGTTCAAATGGGAAAAGAAGGTAAAGTTAAGACTGCGTGGCTTTGCCTGGAAGAAATTAAGCAGGATCCTCCAAACTGCAGAGCTGGAAGAGAAGAATAACTCTACTCTTCTTAGAGTTACTCTAAGAGTAACCTCCAGTGAGGAGAACTGGCAAACAGCTTCAGAGTTTTGACCTGTGATGAGGTCAAAAAACCCCTCACATTTTAGAAAACTTCCTCATCTGAGTTCTGCTGACCACCCAGGCTGTAACTGAAGAATTAACTCATATGAAAGCATGCTGCTCCAATGTTTGCAACACCAGAATTTGGCCCATAATTCACATGGCAAATTGTATGGAGATGAACCTGACCACTCTGTCCCTCTGCCCCAAAACACCTCCCACAGCTGGAAAAGACCTTCTTCTCTTTCTCTCACTGAAAAATCTTCCTAGAGCTTGGTTAAATGTGAAGTTAATCTGAAACAGCTACTTTTTTGTTTCCTGTAATGTGAAATTTCCAGTAGTGTGAATTACTTCATATTAAACACTCTACTTTTATTTAGATCTAACCTAAACTGCCTTTCCCACATGGACAAGTCCTTGTGCTCTGAAAACGTAAGCAGGACACTGAAGTGCTGTGTTCTTCTACAGAAGTCCTGGCTGCTTTTGGAGGGACTGGTTTAACAGATACTGGTGACTGAAAGGAACTGACCCAGAACATCAGCTCTGTAGCACATCACTTTTGTAACACACCAGGCTCTTTCCAGTTAAAACAGGACACATTTCATTCCTCTAGGCCTGTGGAGAGCTTCCAAACATACCAGGTACATAAATGCATTTGTTAAAGATGGCTAACTTATAGGAGAAAATACTTTTACTCTCATGGCAAGCTTAAGCACTAGGTGGTACTGGCTTAAAATCAAAAGTGAATTATTTTAACAAACAGTGAAATCCTTTTTAAAAGTACATTTATACAAGCAATTGGTGCACAAATGCTCAGGTGGTCAGAAAAAGGGAAACAAGGGAAACCCATTTGGTAGTTTCTATCATTTTACCTAGAAGTCATAACTCCCTTCTGTTTCTCCTTTTCTCCTTATTAAAAATAAGAAGGAGGCAAACAAGGGGTCAATCAACATAAACAGTGTAGATTAGATTTTTTGTATAGTCTGTGCTTTTCTTTGCAATTGCCAGTGAACTTTTAAAGCTAACAGTAAACATTTACTGTTAAAAAACACCTTCAACAAAAGGCCATTTCAGAGAACTGCTGGAAATCTGCCACTAGAAGATTTGATTTCACACAGTGCCTTCCTAAATCCTAACACTAGTTAGGAACTTTAAGACACAAAGAGCAATTTTTTTGGCAATTATTAACCCAAAGGTAAGAGCATTATTGCCTACCTCACCCCATTTGAATTATGAATGAACTGAGGCTGAGCTGGGCACAGAGAGAGAAAGCTGTTTGCTCTTTAAAATACAGTTCTGATTATTAAATGGATGCTGACCTATTATTTTTAACCTATTCATTTGTCACACATTTTAAACATTCCTGTATGTTCACAGATGGAAAGAAAAAACACTGTGCAGGAGGAGGAAATTATTTTAATCGTATCTAAAACCACCACACTGATGTCAGCACTCTTAGTGCTTTGCATTTGTAGTTATTCTTCTCTTAAAAGCTGCAACAACCACATACATTCAGAAAAAAAAACACCCTGTGCCATCCTTTATAAAACTGCAGAACTATGCAGGTAATAACTGAAAACAATTCATGGTTTGTGACAGTCCACAAATGACTCTTCCTGCTCATCTCATCTGTTTTCTAAATATGCCTAGGAATACTACACCCATTTTATCTGCTGCCAGTAAAGCAAAAAGAGGGTAAAACAAAATCTACTTTTCCCTCACGTGCTCCCAACATTAACTGGATAAATTTTACAGTCTCACAGGTGGTGCTGAAATTTAACACGAGCACTTTGAAGAGCCTGCTTTTGACTGCTGATGCTTGTGGTTGGCAGACTGTGTGCAACATTTCATCTCTGTTCTCCATTTTCCGGGTGAAACACTGGCAGCTGGGCCAAACCTTCAACTAGTAAATGAACCAGAGAGTCACAGAGGCAAAACTGTCCTGAAATATTTGCTGATTGCTAATTCTTACTCGCCACAACGACAGCAGCACTGTGCAGAAAGCCCAGTGTGCAGAAACCCACTAAGTGAAATGCCCAACACTACTTTGAAGGGGGGGAAAAGAAGGCAAGGACAAGCCATTTAATCTGTAACTCCTGTGTTTCAGAGCTGACAAACACACAGTCTCACCCAGCTTTACTGCGTGAACAGCTCTTACCTTGGTGAATAAAGTCAACACTGGTTTATTCGTGCTGGCTGAGCAGAGCTGTCTCCCCAGTGGGCAGGGTGAATGCCTGGCTCGTGGCAGGGCTCTGCTCAGAAAACAGAGCACCATCATCCTGTTCCAGGCAGGAAAAAAAAAAATAAAACTCTTGAGTTGTTCTGCGCCAAGTTATAGCTCATGAAATTTAATGTCAGGATAAACGCGACGCTTCTGTGGCGGCTCTAAATCACACACAGCCAAAACATTCATCCCAGGGTTTTTGTGCCCGTGGTATCAACACATTCATCAGGGAGGTGCTTTACTATGTGGCAGGCCAGAAACATTGTGCAGCTCAGAAACCAGCAGTTCCATTAAAAAAAAAAGAGGAAAGAACAACAAAACACCTACATTTTCCTGTCGAAATGCCTCTTTTAAATTCCCTAACACAAATGCTGACATAAATGTGTTATGCTGCTCCAGCTCCACAGATGCCAGCTGGAATTACATATTTAAAAATGCAAAGTGCTGTGCTTTGAACCTCTGTAATCTTGCTACAGCATTTGACATAGTCTACTTACCCAAATTATTCCATCAAAAAAACTAATCTGTACCTAATCAGAATATTAATACAATGCGTTCTGCAGTGAGTAAAAAGCTGTAGCCAAGATGATTTAACTTGGCAATATTAAAAGCATTCACACTGCCCTAAGTCCTTCCAGCAACAGCAAATTAATTGATGGGTTTGTGATCCCTTTGAGAGAGAGTTTGAATAAGTTAAGTGCTATTGAAGGGTGCCAAGTTGGAGTCGGGAAGTCACCTGTTAATAATGTCATTAATAGCAGCACTGCTTCCTCTAAACTTTTGTCTTAATGTGACCTTCACAAGGCATTTTAGGACATCAGGGACGAAAAAGGAAGGCAAAGGGAGTCTGCATTGTCATTACCAGCAGACATGACACCTGATATCAGAATTTACACTGAGAAAACCAAACTGAATCCCTTTCACCCAAAGCCAAACTGCTTCTGCTCAGCTTCAGGCCTGACTAACCTGCAGCTGTGTTATCTAAAGCTAAACACACAAGGTGATGTCACAATTTCCAGCAGCTAAAGAGTGAGCAGGATCTCACTGCAAGTGCTAGGCACAGTTTAGGATGTTTAGTCAAAAAGAACCCAGTGCCCTTCTGCTTCACTGGATCTCTCAGTACTGATATCACAAAGCTTTTTCCTAAGAGGACAGTTTGTCCAGAATAACCACTAAGGAAGAGCACTGCAGTGGACTCTAAAGCTGTATTTCCAAGCCACAACCACAAGAAAAATCAAATGGGTGACAGGGCACTGCTCCACCAATCTTCCTGCACAGCCAGAAGACAGCAGCTATTAGTAAGAGTCAGCTGCAAGGGGCAGAGCAATAAAATTCCTGCCACTGAGCAGTGACTGGCACAGCACACAATGCCAAAGGTCACACTCCTTGGCAGCCACTGCATTTGTTTCATTTACCAAGGTGGAAATAGAACTGCCTGGGATTTTGCATGTTAAATGTAAAGGACAAGCTTGGAACCTTTTGGTAAAATGCAGATTTGGATGGCAGGAAGAGCCTCAGTCAGATGCAAAAAATTTTTAAACCCAGAACAAATAAAAGTCTAGAATGGATATAGTTTTGGCATGAAGTGTTTACAGCATGTTGGCCTGTTCACGTGCAACATAAACAATGGGGGTAAAAAAAAGGGTCTCCTTTCTGACAAGTTTTTTAAGAACGCTTTTGTTGCCAGCCTAGCAAGCCTTCCAAATGAGGAAGATGCTCTCAAATTGTTTTGTTTTAGCAGAATGAATGAAGCCCAGATTTTCATAGATCCCATTCTGCCTTTCACACATATATGTGCATAAAACAGCTCCAGTTCAGTCCTATACAGCCCTTTTTTGATCCCTCCATGCTCTGCTGTCCTGAGGACAACTCCTACCAAAACATCAACTGACAGGGAATTAACAAAACAATATCAGTACCTAAGCTTTGAGACCTACCAAAAAAAAAAAAAAAAAAAAAAAAAAAAAAAAAAAAAAAAAAAAAAAAAAAAAAAAAAAAAAGAAAAAAATTCGCCAGTAGTGCCTTAACTTCCTCACTAATTTTAGCTGATTACAAGAAATTCCACCTTCAGAATTCAGAAATACTACCTTCAAGAAATTCAGAATACAGCAGCAAATCTTCCCTGACCAGTACTGCCACTGAAGAAAGAATCTGCTGTTTCCAGGGCTAACTGGAGACTGGCTGGCTGTTTTTCTAGATAACCTAAAGAAACAAAGTCCTGTCTATCTACTCACCTAAGCAAAATAATACCAAAGACACTAAAATGCACAAAACTTTCCATACCATTATTCTGGATCTCTCTCTAGACTACCCCCAATTATAAAGATTTGCTTGACGGAAAAAAATGAACACATAAACGCAAAGAAGGATGCTTGCAAACTTGAGAATTTACCTTCCCCTACACCACAATGCTACAGATTTAACAAATTATTCTTTTGAGTCTGAGCTTGGCCCATGCTCTAATTTGCAGAGCCAAGTTGGACTCAATTCCTGTTAATAGAATTCCATCACTCAATAAATCCTCATCTGCAGGAAAAGTAAGTTGTGACACTAAAACCATCCATTATTTAGATGAGGTGAGTATCTGTATAAACTTAATCTGAGCATCAATCAAGGCAAGACAAGCATGGATTTTTTTTTCCTTGAAGTATTTACCTTTTAAGTAACAGCTGAAAGAGAATGGGGGCAGAAAGTAGGTGCAAATAACAGAAAGTATGTTGATGGCATGTAAAACACCTATCTCCTGTTGTCCCTCATTCAAAACCAGCGACGGCCATCAAGGAAACTAAATTTTCTGGCAGTCTGCATTTGATTACCTACCAAGGAAATGCTGAACAGGAAAACAGGTGACACAGACCAGGGAGCCCACGTGAGTGGGGACAGCAAACCCTGCAGCTCTGGAGATCCTCACGCAGCTTTTACCCCACCAGACATTCAGAGGAGACCTGCAAAATACAAGAAAATCTTTTTGCACATGCTCATAACTCTAGAAGTCTTTCAGGGAGAATCAGGCTCTTGCAGCAGCTCCAAATTCAAAGATACCATCAGCAATACCAGCTGTGTCTGTGGGGTGATGTTATGCATCAATCAGTGCAAGCTTCCATGCATCTTCTCCTCTAACCTGGGGAAAATGCCAAAAAGACACTTCATTCCATCCCAGAAAAGATGGAAGTGTCACATTTGTCAACACGTTTTGCTCAGTAATCCCTCCAGGAGCTTGCATCCTAGAATCTGGTCCAGGGCCACACTCCAAATTCCAGATAATTCAAATTACACCCAACAGGTTGCTGTAGTGGCCTTTTCTGAATGCTGTACAGAACTTGCACAAAACAACACACTGCTACCATAATCTAAAGTTTGTAACGGAGCTTAAAAGATAATAGCAATAACAGCACAATAGAGAATAATATATATGCCACATATATTATAGAACACAACACACAGTATTTCATATGTAACCATATATCTCACAAAATTATATTAATATCTTAGATGCTACACATTCTATAATGTTATAATATTAACAAATATAGCAATTATATTAAAATATTAACATATTGCTAACATTAATCCATATTACTCTTTATATGGGTCATATTAAGGTCATATTAATATGTCACTAATATGCAATTAATATTGCTTTGGTGTAGTGTATCAATAATTGTATTAATAATAGTGTATGTTATACAAAATATGTACATAATAATACTGTATATTAATTATATACATAATTATATTGTATATTATGTGATACTTTACATATACACACATATATATACATATCTACGTATTTGTAAATGCATACATATATATACACATATATATTAAAATATAAAAATGTTTATATGTAGGAATGATATGCATTATATATATAACATAAAAAGTTTTAAATATATACACATACTGATATATATACCTACAGATATACATATAAATACATAAAATAGACAACATGAAATATATATTTACATATATGATACGTATTTGTGTGCCTATATGTATAAAAAATAAGTATGAAATATATAATATTAAAATAAATATTAAAAATAGAAAATAAATTTAAAGTAAATATTGCATATACATATACACACATATACATTTTAACATATATATGAATATATATAATATATAAAAATACATAGACATATATAAAATATATATTTATATATATTTTTATAAAAAAGATAAATTATATATAGGTATTATATATTTTTAATCTATTTTATGTATTAAAATGTATAATTTTAAAAAATATATTTTATATGTAAAAATATATAAATATATTTATATGTGTGTATATATGTATATATATAAAAACTCATAAACATATATATATACACATATATAGACATACATATATTCATATATATATATAAACCACATAAATAAATAAATAAATAAATAAATAAAATCGAAATGTTTATATGTAGGAACGACAAGCATCATAGATACAACACAATAACAGTTTTAAACACTTCTGTTTGGAAACTTCTGAGCGACACCCCCCAAGCCCCGCCGGCGAGCCCAGCAGGGTACAGTGTATCCAGAGGCCTCCTCACTCTGCCCCGCAAGGAGCCAGCCCGCCGGGGGATGCCGATGCTGGAAAATTTGTAACGGGACCCTCGGCGGGGACGAGGAGCGGAGCCGCATCCCGGGGGAGCGGAGCCGCATCCCGGGGGAGCGCATCCCGGGGGAGCGCATCCCGGGGGAGCGCATCCCGGGGGGTGCTGCATCCCGAAAAGCCGAATCCCGCGGGAGCAGCATCCCGAGGAAGCGAACCCCGATGAGAAAAGCCCCGAGGGGCAGCAGCAGCCCGCAGCCGGGTCCGGGCGGTCCCGCACCCACCTGCGGGAGCTCCGCCGGAACCGCGCCGGGAGCGCCGGCTGTGACGTGACTCCGCCACGGGAAGGAAGCGACACCGGCTCGGGAAGCGCTCCCGAGGGAAAAGGGGACGGCCGAGGTCCGCAAGAGAAAGTGAAATTGTAGTAGTAATAATAACAGCAATGGTAATGCAATAGTAATGCAAAATAGAAATAATAGTGTAATAGTAATGATGGAAATAGGAAGGGTAACAGTAATAATGGTATCAGGGAGTTTTGTTAGTAAGTTGGAGACTTGGCGTGGAAATTGGCGTGTTAGTCCCTGAGGTACTGCTGTGAGTGCGGGGTTTGGGTAAAAGGAGTAGGGTGAAAGGTAGGGAGAAGAAGAAGGAAATTAAAGAGGGAGGGAGGGAGAAGGAAGGAAGGAAGGAAGGAAGGAAGGAAGGAAGGAAGGAAGGAATTCAGTCCACATGATGACCAGGATCCTGGGGGCTTTGAGGGTCTTCTACAGCCTCATCCCCCATTACAATTCAACCTTTGGCCATCACTTCACACCGACTTCCGTGCTGATGCTGCCTTTTATTTGTTGTGTGCTAGAACAAGGATTTTGTCCCAGAAAAGTGCTGCCTTGCCTCCACATGGCCCCCTTTCCAGTCACATCTTGTTTTTCCTCAGCGTGTTGGCGACAAGAAGCCTTGGCTGGGTCCACAACCATAGGGCTCCCCATGGCCAGCACCAGCACTGCTCCAGGTCTGCCCCCAGGGCACAATCCTGGCTGGCAGCTTCCCCACTTCCCTCACTTCACTCTGCTATGTACCAAAAAGTGGGCAGCAGCCTCTAAATCTTCTCCTCCATCCTCCTGAAACATGGAACTTGGGCACCCACTCAGGTGGATGTACTGCATAATGGAAAAAATCTGAATTAGTGGAGAGTATCACTGGAGTACAAAGGTTCACAACAACGAAAGCACAGAGGGAAAAAGTTGGGCCTGTTTAGCCCAGAGGTGACTCAGGTGGGATCTTATTAGTGCATAAAAATGTCTCCAAGGCAGGTGCTAAGAGGATGCTCTTGATGCTCCATTTGACTAGGTGTTTCTGACATCAGGTGTGTTCATTTTCCTCTCCCCAGAAAAGTTTCAAGTAAAAAACATCAAGTGTCCACTGCTGGGCAAATGAAAGCTGCAGGCTCATGTTTGCATACTGTAAATACATACTGTATTTCTGCCAGGATTTTGGTTTTGCCATAGTAGCTGTCCCTAGGCCGAGAGTGGGAGACAAATCTTTAGGGTAGAGGCTCAAGTCAGCTCCATCTGTGCTTTGAGAAGCACAACAGCACCCAGGGGAAAGGCTCTCCAGGAGTGTAATCCTACCCTGCTGATGTGACACGTGTAATTAACCAGCACTGAAATTAACATGAGGCAGAGTCAGCTCGGGATCTTAGTGACTCCTTTTCAGACACTAACTTAATCCCTGCTGCTGAACAGAGATGTAATGCTGGCAGCTGACACTGCCTGCTCTTTCTTCTTTTCCCAGCATCAGAAAATCCGGTGTAAGGCTTTGGTGTTTGGCACTGGTACAGAACAGACCTGACAAGCGTCACACAAGGGAAATGCTGAACTGGCTCTCACCTGGATTTTACTTTCTCAGAAAGGGTGGGAGGACACCCAGAGAGAGGGCAGAGGCCGGTTGGAAAGCAGATAAATAAAGAGATCAGCATGCTCTTGGCATCTCAGGTCTCAGATTAATTTTATCCCTCTTGCTCCCAAAGCAAGTCTGTCTTTCTCTGGACATGTGTCTAAAATTCCCAGAGGAACCTGGAGGAGAGAGCTCCCAAAACTGGTCAGTTTATTTAAACTGGTTTCACCCTCAGATCAGGTTGTTTTTAATACAAGTATTAAAAAAAAAAAAAAAATGGAAAAAGAAGACAAAAAAATGTTAAAAAAAGGTTTTCTTATGCTACAAACATCTGCTTTGCAATTAACCAGTTTTGTTTTGGCAGGTTTTTGATACACTACTGTAGATATCTCAGCACAAAACTAGCTTTGGTTTTAATCCAGTATTTATGAGCTGAATCTTCTTAATCTTCACAGTGACAGATGCAGAAAGAATTATTACTTAGAGCATGTCTCACTATCACTGTGCTTAGGAATGAGATGGATTTCTGTAAAGTTTGGTATTTAAAAACGTGTTCTGACATCTGAAAGAAGTGCAACACTATTTTTCATTATGGCACAAAGGACATCTTTAGATTTCAAGGGCAGTTAGGACTCAACGGTTACATTTCCTGCACAGGTACCATGCTATGATGCACAAGTCTTCCTTTTTTTTTTTTCTTTATAAATTTATCTCTTAATAAAGTGTGGACATGGTTTCACAGCCCAAACTAAAAAGAAGTCATGCTCTGATGGACCACATGCAATTTGGTTCTCCTCCAGATTTCTATTTTATTTCTCTATATTATTTTGAGATAGAATCACAGATTCAGAGGGTGGTCTGGGTTGGAACGGACTTTAAATCCCATCCAGTGCCAGCCCAGCCATGGCAGGGTCACCTCCCACTGTCCCAGGCTGCTCCAGCCCCAGTGTCCAACCTGGCCTTGGGCACTGCCAGGGATCCAGGGGCAGCCCCAGCTGCTCTGGGCACCCTGTGCCAGGGCCTGCCCACCCTGCCAGGGAACAATTCTTTCTAATAACTGGGTTAAATCTACCCTTTTTCATCTTAAAGCCATTCCACATCTCAAATCCTGGGTCAGTTTTGAGCACGTCACTCCAAGGAGGACATTGAGAGGCTGGAGCGTGGCCAGGGAAGGGAACGGAGCTGGGAAGGGGCTGCAGCCCCAGGAGAGGCTGAGGGAGCTGGGAAGGGCTGAGCCTGGAGAAAAGGAGGCTCAGGGGGCCCTTGTGGCTCTGCACAGCTCCTGCCAGGAGGGGACAGCCGGGGGGTCGGGCTGTGCTCCCAGGAACAGGGACAGGAGGAGAGGGAACGGCCTCAGGCTGGGCCAGGGGAAGTTTAGGATATTAAGTTTAAAAAACTCTTCATTGAAAGGATTATCAAGCATTGGAACAGGATTCCTTCCCTCGGGGGAAGGAATCATTTTGTGAAAAGTGAAAATCTTAATGCTCAAGTGACTGGAGTATGGAAAAGGTGACAAATTGAAAAAATAATCACCAAACATTCAGTAACTGTAATAAGCAGCAGAGGAATGCCAGAAAAATGTATTAGAAAACTTGATTCTAATATGACAAAATTTTTTTTTTGCTGTACAAAGAACAGCTTCTAGAGATCTTAGCCTGAGGAAAAGCACCTTGAGGAATATGCTTTAAAAAAACCCCAAAATGCGTTCCTAAAATGATGAATGCCAGTGGAGGAACATTTTCATTTGTGTAAATGACCTGCAGAAGGGAGGGGACTGCCTGCCCATGAACTTTTCACTGTCTGCCAACCCAAGGATCACCTCAACACTGAACATGGTGACACGTTAATTTGCACGTTGTGTAACAGCAATTTGAGCAGCATTTTGAATCTATTTTTGTATCTCGTGTTTTCTATGGGACCATTGCCATGGTGGCACATGGTATCCAAAAATTAATTTACTGAGCACCAAGAGAGCACTGGGTTCCAGGCTAAGGCAGAGCCTATTGGAAATCAATGCTATTCTTTCACTTCCCAAAAAGGAGCTTTTTGGTCAGGTCCTTCTTTTGCATGCAGCACATGTGGTATGTTTGCTCTGAGTGCCAAAACCGAGTTGTGTTTAGCAGTTTTTTTAATAGTGAAATTTGCTTTCCATAAATTCCAGCTCAGCAGAGAGTATTTGTGGGAGATAGAAGTTTTTATGGGATCTAGGATAAACACTTATTTTCAAACAAATTAAGGCTGCTCTGGTAGGAGACGTCAGCAAATGCCCTACTCCCCTCATCTCTGAGATTATATAGTTGAAAAACAACAGGACATTGAAATAATGTGTATAATTTTGGGCCATGTAAATTATGTGAGGGTTGCAGCACTCCCTTTGCTAACTAAAATTCTCCCATCATATGTTCACTATCTCTTTGATTGCCCCTAAGTGGCACGTGAAAAAACAGCATTTGTTTGGCATTACAAAGTGAGCAGCAGAAATTTCATTTTGCTCCTATATATTCATGCCTTCTTCCTAGAAATATCTTCCTGTGGCTTGCCTCTCAAGGTAAGAGCCTCTGCTTGTAACATCCTGCAAGCCTCAACACTTGAAAAAAACATTTACTCTTTGAAAGAAAATGAGGGAAAAGACTGAGTGTTACGCTTTGCTATGGTCTTCAAATGAAGAACTTTTTCAGGCTAACGATGTGCTGTGCAATGGTGTTAAGTAATGAAGTACTAACTAACATAAAAAGTGGGGTTTTTTTATTTTCTCTCACATAATATGGGTTTTTCAAGGAAATGGATCTTATTCTAATACCTTACACTCGTAACACTTCTTTCAAATTAATGCAAAATATAGTTACTATCATGCAAAAGTTGATTTTTGCTGTTATTCCTAATTGATTACTTTACAGTGACACACGAGTCATATCCTGCCCCTTTGCTAAAAAGTTAAAAAGAACTGTTAAGAGTGTTAAAACTCTCTATTTTGAAGTCCACCTGAATAAAAAAAAAAGGTGTGTCTTTAAATTTGAAATTACAATTGTTTTAAACTTAGCTATCTGATTAAAGTTGCACATTTTTTTCTATTAACATGCACAAAATTTCTATTAATACGATTTTTTTTGGGGGGGGGATATTTTATTTTTTTTCTTTCTGCTGTTTCCCCATTTGCTACCCAGTAAATAATTGACTGACTACCAGCATAATCTATGCCATAACCCATTCCCTTTAATGTCATGAACATTTTTTTGGTGTTTTGTGTTTTGCTAATTATAACAGCAGCAGTTTTGTGCTTTGTGTTGATTTAAAATCAATTATAAAATAGTTTCAAAGTTGAAACTGAGAGGTGCATTTGACTCTGATACAAAAACATGCTCATAGAGGTTCAGCTGCAGAGGATTTTCCAGGCCTAGGGATGTGATGAGAGATTTGTATGATTTTTTTT